ATTTGCAATCTTCTTTTGGACCATACAATCTCTTCTTTGTAAACTTTCTATATGTGTTTGTGTGTGTATTTGATGTCTTTCCCTGTTTTATTATCTTTCTTGAGGTTAAGCAAACAAAAAAACTCTTTCTTTCACTTAAGACTTTTCCAATCAGTTCCTTAAATTTGACTAATGCTATATTTTAAATTAAGTGTTTTATAGCTGCGTGCTAAAGCAATATCTTTTCTACCAACCAATAGTGTCAAAAATAAGGGACTCCTCACCTAGTCAATTTGGGGGCTCAGCCAGTACATTTCCACAGGCAAATGACAGAATTGGAGTGGGAAAAATAAATTGTTACTTTAAACGTTGTTTAAAAAAATCTGCAAAAAGGCTTCCTCGGCCTTTGACATTAATGTGATAAAATGTCCACATTTGATGCCAGTAGAGCAGGACAAAATAAAGATCGGAAATTTTAACAGTGTTAACCTTAGAGGAATTAAAAGTTGTAGATAAGCACTTAGGAGTTGAGTTTGCCTCAAGCCAACAAAACAAAAATTTTGCCAAACTCTTGGTGAAATATGTAGAGGTGGAAACCGAAGCCAGAGAAACAGACAAATTAAAATTGGAACAGCTAAAATTGGGACTGGAATTCCAACACAAGCAAAGTAGCAAGAGAATTGTCAGAATAGGAAAGGAAAGGAGAGAATTTCAGGAAATTAGAAAGAGGGGTTGAGAAAATGAGTTCCAATTAAGACAGCTTGAGCTGAGACCCGAATATTCCATTGAGGGCACCTCTGATGAGGGAGCCACACCCAACTCTGATTTGAAAGCTGAAATGTGCAAGTTCACCCATTTAATCCTTAATCTTGATGCCTTTTTCACCTTTTGCAAGTAATTTGCATAACATATAATGTGGTCACTTCAACAGACATTGCTGTTTCACAGCATTCTGACAGTGAAAGCTCAGAACATTTACTCCCTGTAGCCTGAGGAGAGTGCCAGTGACTCAGAGACAGCAAAAGGGGTTAGTTTAAGTGAGTTAGAGACAAAAAAAAACTTCAGATGCTGGAATCCAAGGTAGATAAACAGGAAGCTGGAAGAACACAGCATGCCAGGCAGCATCTGGAAGAAAGGAAAAGTCAACGTTCCAGGTATTACCCTTCTCCAGGACTGGATGTGTGGGTAGGGAGAGTCCTGAGGCCTCTGCCTCCCTCAGACACGGTGCCCACTTTGAAGAGGTTCTTTGCCTCAGATGTGCGCTCAAAGCCTATGGGTCTCCCCCTACCCCCACATCCAGTCCTGAAAAAGGATAATACCTGGAACGTTGACTTCTCCTTTCCTCCAGATGCTGCCTGGCTTGCTGTGTTCTTCCAGCCTCCTGTTTCTCCACCCAGTTTAAGTGTATAGCAGTTTGTGCTAGAGGAGTACCAGAAAGCAATTCCATACCATCAAGAAATGGTCGGACCATACATAATTAAAATTTGAGTGGTTTAGGACGTAATCTTTGACTAGTGGGTGCAGCGCTTAAAACTGAGGCCACCAGTGAAAACCTTTATAAGATAATTCTTCTCAAGGAGCCCAAAAACTTAACACATTCCAACACATGCTCATAGAGAGGTTGGCAGGGCCCAGACAAGCAGCCATTCCGAGTTAACACACAGACCCATAGGCTGGGATCCGGATGGACCACAGAGAGGGAAGGAAGCAATAAATACACCTGAGACAACTTGAAGAGGAAAAAAAAACAGGCAGAGAAGGTACAATTAACTCCGAATACTTAAAGGAGACCTGTTGGGAGACAGATGGGAAACTGACTCAAGTGCTGCCATTGAGGAAAGGCAGGTCATGTAAAGGAAAATTGTTGGTTTCAGCATCCCACAGAAACTCAGGATGCAAGACCAGTGTCTGTAGCATTAAAGGGGGTTAGTGTCTGCTCAGGTAGGAGTTGGGAAGTCATGTTGAGGTTGTACAGGACATTGGTGAGACCAGTTCTGGAATATTGTGTCGAGCTCTGGCCACCCTCTTATAGGAAGGATATTATTAAACTAGAGAGGGTTCAGAAGAGAATTACCAGGATGTTGCCAGGTATGGAAGGATTTGAGTTGTAAAGAAAGGCTGGATAGGTTGGGATTTTTTTTTTTTCGCTGAATGTTGGAGGTTGAAGGGTGACCTCATAGAGGTTTACTAAATAATGAGGGATAGAGGTAGGATTAATGGTAGATGTCTTTTCCCTAGTATGGGGGATTTCAAGACTAGTTGGCATATTTGTAAGGTGAGAGGAGAGAGATTTAGACAAGACCTAAGGGGCAAATGTTTTATACAGAAGGTGGTTTGCATGTGGAATGAACTCTGTGAGGAAGTTATGGATGATGGCATAGTTACAACGTTTAAAAGATACTTAAATAAGCACATGAATGGGAAGGTTTTGGAGGTATATGGCCAGAAGCAGGCAGATGCGGACTAGCTAGTTTACGATTATGTTTTGCGTGGACTGGTTGGACAAAAGGGTCTGTTTCCATGCGGTATGACTCTATGACAAGGATAACAGCCAGATAAAGAGGTCAGCAGTTTCCTGGATGGCAGTGGCTCATTGATCTAGCGTGTAGGAAATGTAAAAATTTTCCATCTAACTCAAGTTAAATTC